TGGGGCTGCTCCTTTCAGAGCTGGGCTGTTCAAGCACAGCTTTTCAGGTCCTTTTAAACAAGTGCAGACTGTGCCACTGTTTATATCTGGTCTGCTCTGAAATGTGAAAGGATATCATTCACTGAACAGCCAAATCTCTCTGAAGGGTTGCAGACCAGGGATTTGTTTCCTCAGGGCAGGACACAGAGGGTGGAGCAGAGGAGTGGGGGAAGGCATCTGACTGTTTCTGATTTGTCCCTTCTGAGAGGCTGTTGAACTAGTATTAGAGCATGCTTTTCATGGACACAGTTGATGCTTATGGATGGAATGCTGTCCTGTTTCAGAACCGGGAGGAGAAGGCTTGGAGTGAAACTATTTAAAACAAGAGGGCAAACACTGTCCTGCAGTGGGTGATTATCAGCTTCAGTGTGGCTCCCCAGTGGACACTGTACCCCCTGAAAATAACATTGGTTGTGGCCCTAGCTTTAGTATGCCAGAATGTCTCTCCACCCTTCCTTACTTTTAATCATTGCTGCGTTTTGCTCTGATGTGTTTTGCTGGCAAATCCCTGACGCAGCTTGCCTTGGAGTAAAGCTGATGTTAAAGGTATGTACGTTTATTTGAGAGAAAGAGTTGGTTTTCCTCCTGTTCCCTCCTGCTCTGTTTCCAAAAAGTCTGTGAAAGCTCCAGCCCTGTCTTAATGCAAGCTCCCCTGCAATTGATGCAACCAGTGCACTCCCTCCAGACATGTATTCCAGATGAATTAGTGTTCCTTGAAGAAGAAACGTATGCATCCAGGGGAGTCCATGTGCCACAGAGCATATGGTGTGCATCAGTCTGGTAAAAGTGAAAGGCAGTGGCAAGCTGGGATCACTGGAGTGGCTGTAATGAGGACAGCACTTAAGGTGAATTGTCACACCCTGCCACTCAATGTCAACTCTGAACATCACTTCTTTGTTAGCAGCTGGGCCAATTGCTCAGTGCCTTTACTCCTTAAAGAAAAATGCTAATAGGTGTTTTTTCTTTGGGATGAAGCAAAGATTTGTTTCTACATGGATTTGCTACAAAATGAAGAGCATACGAAGGTTTAAGGCATCATAAACTCACACTCAGACTGAGGTTTCCTCCTTAGTTGTCTGGGAGGGTGGACCACTGAGATATGAGGTGCCTGTATCATTATCATTGCGTTACTGGTCTTGCTGTGTTTTTTCTGCACGTTGCAGCCATTCTTCACTCAAACATTACTGTGTAAAGTTTCAGTTTTGGTGGGACCTGGAATGGGAGAGGCGGGCAGTAAGTGAATCTAGAATATTCACCAACAGATCAAGTGTGCTGAGTTCTGAGTATGGCAGGATTGAGATAGTTTGGCATTGGGAGCTAAATCACTGTAGAACTGGTGTATAATGGAATAAGTGAAGAAAACAGTATAAAATGCCTAGCAATTACAGTGTATTACAGGAAAGCTGGAAGGCCTGGCAGAGCTTAGAGTCTACAGCTTACATCTTTTAACTGTGAGGTTGGAGAGCTGTTAGAAAGTATTGCACTTACTACAGCTGCTTATCGAATTCCTGTAATTTCTGCTGGATATGGTGGTCACAGCCTCTGTGCATTCCATGTGGGTGTGGGGATGCCTTGACAGAAGGAGTAAGGATGCATTAGGAGTGCATTGCTGGGGACAGAAATACCATGGTCTATAAACCTGGTTGCTGGCCAAAGCTCATGTGCTGTGATACTGGAGAGGCCTGGAGTTCTTTTGTAGCTTCTGTTTTCTGTGTTTTCTGATAGAAGAGATTAATGTAAGTGTCTCTAGATAAAAATCAGCAGCTATTGCTGGACAGGCAATTACCAGCAACATCATTACAATCCCTTTTAGCTTTGAATCTAGGATTAGGGGGAATACAATCTATTGCATTTTTCAGCCTGTGTTTTTCAGTAGAAGTTTCTTATTTTTATGTGATAAAGAATAAAGCTGCATGAGAAATCCACGTCCAGTCTTACTTCGCATCACAGAGCTGTTTCTTGGCACTGTTTTGATGGTAATGCTGCTGTGGATTGTTATGTATAGAAACTGTAGACTGCAGAAGAGAGACCTATTTTCAGCCTTCGTTGCTCTTAGCTCTTGATTAGAATTCGTTATAAGCACTTTACAGAGGGAGGCAAGCATTATTGAGTTCAGCAGATTAGTAAACTGAGGTACGAAGGGAAAATGATGGACATGGAAAGCGCTGAAAGTAAGAAGAGACGTTAGCCTTTTTCTGAGTATATACCACTTGTACCCTGCTAAAATGTCCTGCTCTGAAGGCATCTTGCACAGTAGTCATGCACAGATCATCTGCATTTCCTAAGTCCTCAGTGACATGAGCGCTGAGTCTTGAAACTACCTAAAGCCACTTGAGAACTGAAGTCTCACTTTACTGCTAAGAATCTGTCATTTCCCCTGACAAAAGGCTTATGTTACAGACAACCTGTATTTGACAGCCTTTTTGTACTTGTACTTTGTGAGTACAAAAAGTACTTGCTTAGTACTTACTTCTTGCACTACAAAAAGTATTTACCTTGTACTAAGTTAATCAACTGTCAGAATTGACTACTAGAATTGCAGAAGGAAGTATCCCTTATTCTTCAATGCGTGTATGGGCACCCTCAGTCAGTGTGGAGCTTTAGAATGGAGAAGTTGGAAAATAGTTTTTCTTATGCAGCCAGTTGACTAGTTTTGGCAAACAGGGGAAAGAGCACACCCTCCCTCTTGCTGGGTGTTCCTCCTTCACATCCCAGCCATGATTCTGAGAGGCAAAGCAGAAGTTGGGAGCTGCTGTACTGTTAATTTCACTAAGTGGCAGATGCTGGTGCTTCCTTTCTTTCTAAACTTTTGGTGGTTTGTGGTAATGTTGAATCTTGTAGTGCACTAGTTGCTAGCAGGGTACAGATATTTCTTGTCAGCTTTGGCCATCTTTCAGTGCTATAAATACTACCTTTAATAAAGAGCAGTGGTGAAAGAGGACTCTGATATATAGTGAGGTGAGGCTCTGTGAATTGGCATGGCTTTTGAAGCAGCGTTTTTACATTAAAGACTCTGCAGATTTGTTACCTCACCTAGGTATGCCTTGCTCTTGACAATTGTTAGAGATGGGAGGTTGGAATGAGTCATGCCTGATTTGAATGGACTAAGTGTTGCTCTGGGCTTGTGTCAGGGTACTCTGTCATTTGCTTTGTTCACAAGTTTGGTATAGGACAAATTCAGAGAATTTCAGACATTTGCTAGTGTCTTTGGATAGGGCCGAGGAGGCATTTTCCACAAAAATGATATCAGGAGGGGCTTTTTTCTTTCCTAGGATAACTGATGGCCAGTGTTGTTGGAATTGTATTCACAGTATTTATTTTCTACTAAGCATTGAGACTGACTCCCTTTTGTTATAGCACCATTTTATTTACACTGAAATAATTGCAAATCCCCAGTTCTTGCAGGAACTGGTTAGATTTCTGTTTTCCCCAGATACTTGATAAAGAAGTTGTACCCACAGGGTGAATATGTGATATTTCTGATGTTGTAGAAGTACTAAAAGGATGGAAACAGAGGTAAAATGGGCAAATCTCTGTTCTGTACATGTCCTTCTCTTAAACCATGCATGAGAAGTGAGATGAGGAAGTAGGTGACGATTTGTGGCATGCAGAATACCTAATTTTTTTCTTTTAAACTCACCTTAAATGAAATCTCGTCTTTGAGGGATTAATGAGTGGCTAGCAGACATTTGAGTAAGGTGCTAGACAATTGTTACTGGAACATGGAGATCAGTTGTTTTAATCATGGCTTGTCAAGTCTGAAAATTACAGTGGTATGTGAAGCTGTGGTATGTTGTTTAAAGTGCTGTGTGTACAAAGTCATCTTTAACTCATTCCAGTTGTATCTGTCCTGTGCATGACCTTTGCTGATCATTCATTATCTCTGTGTAAATGGCATTTTAGTGAAAAGAATTTCTATAAACTATAAAAATCTAGGAATAAAAATAGAAATGCTGTCAAATGCGCACACACACAGACACACACACACATACACAGAGCTGAGATTTTGCAAAAATTTTCATACCAGTATCAGAGAAAAGCTCTTCTGAAGTTCAAAGTCTGCCTTTGTGCAGGGGTGTGTATGTGGGGGCGTGCTTTTTGATGCGGCGGGCTCTTGCCTCTTTCGTGGGAGAAGCAAAGCAGGCACACAGCTCAGCCAGAGCTCTCCTATTGTACTAGAGGTGGGAGGAATCTGTAAGTGCATGATTTATCTGAAGTGCCCTGGGATTGCCATGCTAAACATTTTGACTTTGAGCAGCTGGTGAGGGAAATAATTGCCACCATGAGGGAGCAGGAGGGAAGCAAGGAGTTCACCAGGCTGGCATGGGTGGTTTGTGTCTCATAATCCAAACTGGTTTCCTTGCTCTGCGTCCTGCTTTTTCTAGCAGTGCCTTCCCATGGGATGTCCGCTGCTCATGGGTGACACAGAAGCCGCTGAGAGTTCTGGTGATATTATTTTAGATTTAAGGAATTGGGTTGTTTCCAGGACAACTGGGGAAGAATGAGGAAGGGACTTGTTCTGACTCAGCTTGGAGTAACTGATCATCCTAGCTCAATCACTACATTTCTCCCGGAAAATGGTTAATTTCCTGCTTTTAAAGAGGCCTCTTCAAGCCAAGCAGGCAGTTGTGTTAAAAAATACGAATGCAAGAAGCATTGGTGCAGTTGCAGTTGTAGGCTGATAATAGCAAAGAGCTCTCTCTGAAGTGAGCCCAAGTTGAGGATACTTAGCACAGTCAGAAGGAAAGTCCATGTTGTTTGGGCTGTTAGGCTGTTTGTTAAAAACCCTTGACTTTTGCTGACTGCTAAGTAAATGTCCCTGTTCGACACTGCTTCTTCAATTAAGTGGATTTTGTTACATTGTGTCATCTTGCCTCTGTGCAATTAATTGCCTGCTGTTCTACAAGGAAACTCTAATGTTATCTTATTTTTCTTCTTTCCATATTCTTTTAATCTCACAGCAGTCTTGACCTACAGAATGTGGTGTTAGACTCCAGTGCAGCGATGGGGAGCAGTGAACTTCAGGAGAAAGATGCCACTGGAGCCCTTGTCCATGACCTCAGCAATGGCAGCCGCAGCAATTTGGAAGCAGCCAGGCGCCTGGCTAAGCGCCTCTACCATCTGGACAGATTCAAACGCTCTGATGTGGCAAAACATTTGGGTAAAAAGTATGTGCTGATATGAATACATGCTTGGCCACATTCTTATTGATGTGGTTCTGGAGGGGTTCACTCTTGTATGATAACCTTTACGTATTTCTTCGCTTTTCTTTAGCAATGAATTCAGCAAGCTTGTGGCCGAAGAATATCTTAAATTTTTTGACTTCACAGGCATGACGCTGGACTGTTCACTCAGGTACAATTCCATTTATGGACTTCATATTCTTATTTTAGTAACAGTGCTGTTTGCAGTGTTGTCCTGATTTACATGGTTGTCCTTTTTGTATGTAAGAAGATGAAGAGAGGACTGTGATGTATTTTGGGGGCGAGCTCTCTCTTCTGTTTGGCTTTATGTGCTACCCTACTCTAGTGGTACTGGAGTGGTGGTCATATGAAGGGGGAAATACTTGGGTGAACCTGTCTAGGGATGGTCCCTGAGATGCTGGAGAAAAGTTTCCAGTCACTGGCAAAACAGGGGACTTGTAGTCTGCCAGATGCTTGTGAGAAATTACAGTGTTGCTCGCAGCTGATCTGCACAGACTCTTTGGCTGATGCCTTTGAAGCTTACCCCACTTTGTTGCAGTGCACTAAGAGCAGGGTTTGGTGTGGTTTGGCAGCTCCCCTCTCTGTGTCTCCCTGAGGAATCCAAGAATGTGCAGAACAGTAAAAGCTTCTACATGGAAAAAGCTGTAGTGAGTTTGGTAACTGTTGGCATGGGTGTTTGAAGACTCAGCCCTTCCATTTTCTTTGCTTTTTACGCTTGAATCAGACCTCAACAATTTTTATTTTCAGTGATTTTTTTTTCAGAAGTCAAACCACCAAGTTTATGTAGCCTGTTAGCCCAGTTGCTGGTGTTCTCGTGTTTAAGGGGATTTAAATGAGTTTAACTCATTTGACTGAGGTTACTTAAGGGGGATTTTTTTTCTAATGAAAATCTGGAAGATGTGCTGACCCCCTTAGCAAATGGATTTCTGAGGGATTTGATGCCATGAGACCATAGCAGATCAAAGGCACCCACCAAGTCCTGCCTGCTGAAGGAGGTGGAAATGGAACATGCCTGCACAAACATGAACCACCTGGTCCTGAGGCAGGGGGAGTGGAGCCAAGCTGGAGCACCCACTCAGCGTGGGGTGGGAGCTGCTGGGCAGTGGGAGGTCTGTTTCTCTGTTCCAGGTTTCAGCACCCCTGAAGCGTGATGCTAAATGTACCCTTCTTTTAAATTGTGAAATCCAACACATAATTGCTTTGTGGCACATATTTAGGAAGCCTCTGCTCCCTGTAGATCTCCTGTTAATATTAGTAGTTAGGGCTTTCTCTGAAATGTGCCCGGGCTCATGTAGGACTTAAACAAGGCAAGGGGTTGTTGAGGTTTCAAGAGCAGCTACAGTAATTGCCACCTACATGCTGTAAGCATGCTGCAGCAGCTGGGGACAAAGAATCGTTCCAAAGCCTTAGGAAACTGAGGCGTGCTACCTCATGCTTGGCAGAGTGAGAGGGGAAACAGTGCTGTTGTTGCTGGCTCATTGATAAGCTGTGGTTTATTGAGCATTTTGGGGGCAGCTGCTGTGATCTGTGCTACCTCCCAGCTATGGGAGGGCGTTTTGCAGCATCAGTGACAGGTCTGAGACCTGGGAAAGGTTGCTCCTTCACTGTCCACTCCCTGGATTCATGTTGCCCATGCACCTCCTGAGTACATCTCTTGCAGCCTCTGCAGGATGACAGGAGGGAATGTGGTGCTGCTCTGGCTCCTCTCAGTCTGCATTCTGGAGTCCAGCCCTGGACATGGGGAGAGCAGACTTAAGGCTGCTCAGGAAACTAGTTAGTAAGGTTCAGTGGGAAAATGCTTCTGAAGGTGCTGGGATCAGTACTGGTCACTACCTCCTAAGGGCACAGGGGCAGGCAAATTGAGACAAGGCAGAAGGCTAACTTGAATGACGAGGAATCTTCTGGACCTAACAAAATGAAGGTGTTCATCCAACGGGAGAAGGGTCAGGTGACGTGGGAAGAATACAAATTTGCTGCTCACCACTGTAGAGAGAAAATTCCAGCTAACAAAGTTCAGATGGAGTTTAACATTGCCAGTACTTGTGTGGGACAACAAAAAGATTTTTTTAAAATAAGTCAGTAGAGAAAGGCAATGCAGAATGGCTCAGTGTATTGAGGGACCATGGCTGTGAGAATGATAAACTCCCACCTGATCCTGAACTTGTGTGGGATTTGTTGCTCCATCTGGATCCTCATGGGTCTATGGGGCCACATGGGATTTATCCAGAAATACTCAAAGAACTGGTTGATGTCATTGTGACATCTCTCTTAATGATTTTGGAATGGTTTGGGCATCTGAAGAGATCCCAGTTGAGTGGAAACTGTCTAACCGTCTAACTTGTCTAAGGGCAAGAAGGTTGACCCTGGAAACTATAGGCCTGTCAGTCTCAGTTCAGTGCCTGGTAAAATAATGCAGAAAATTATTCTAGGAGGTATTGAAAAATACTTGAAAGACAATGCAGTGATTGGTGACAACCACCACAGCTTCATGAGGAAAAAGTCCTGCTTATCCAACCAAATTTCCTTCTGAGACAAGGTGACCCCTTTAGATGATCAAGGGAAGCCAGTTGATGTGATCTTTTTGGATTTCTGTAAAGCTTTTGATACTGTCTCTCTGAGGACCCTCCTGCAGAAAATGTCCAGCCCGCAGCTGGATAAACACATCATGTAGTGGGTGAGCAGCTGGCACATGGTCAGGCACAAAGGGGTGCAGTGAATGGGGTGACATCAGACTGCTGTGACCTGTCACTGGTGGGGTTCCACAGGGCTTCATCCTTAGCCCTGTGCTTTTCAACATCTTCATAAATTACTTGGGCACAGGACTTGAGCATATAATAGGTAAGATTGATGATACTAAACTGGGAGGAGCCACTGACTCCCTCAGAGGAAGTGAGATCCTGCAGGGAGACTTTGATGAACAATGGGTCTGGGGAACTACGAACTGTGTGAAATTTAACAAGGGCAAGTGCTGGATTCTGCACCTGGGATAGACTGGGAAATGAGGTGCTGGAGAGCAGCACAGTGGAAAAGGACTAGGGAGTCCTTATGGAGGGCAAGTTGAATATGAGTGAGCAGTGCCCTGGCAGCCAGGAGGGCCAGCTCTGCCTGGGGTGCATCAGGCACAGCATCAGCAGCCCAGCAAGAGAGGGTATTTTCCTGCTCTGATCTGCACTGAGGCAGCCTCACCTGGAGTGCTGGGGCCAGTTCTGGTCCTTTCAATATAAGAAAGATACGAAGCTACCAGAAGGTATCCAGAAAAGGGCTACAAAGATGGTGAAGGGCCTGGAGGGAATGCCAAAGAAGTGGCTGAGGTTCCTTGGTTTGTTCAGCCTGGAGGAGACCGAAGGGAGACTTTATTGCAGTCTACAACTTCCTCACAAGTTGAAGAGGTGGGGCTTGCACTGATCTCCTCTCTGTGGTGACCTGTGACAGGATGCAAGGGAATGGCTTAAAGTTGTGTCAGGGGATGCTTAGGCTGGACATTAGAGAGAGGTTCTTTGCACAGCAGGTAATTGGGCTCTGGAACGGGCTCCCCAAGGAAGTGGTCACAGCACCAAGCCTGACAGAGTTTAGGAAGTGGTTGGACAACACTCTGAAGCACATGGTGTGATTCTTAGGGGTGTTCTGTGCAGAGCCAGGAGTTGGACTTAATGATCCTTGTTGGGTGCCTTCTAGCTCAGTGTATTCTGTGTTCTCTGTAGGGCAGAAACTCATCCCTGTGGCCCTTGGTATTGCATTGTGCTCTGAGAGTGAGGAAACTGCCTTGTTTATTGGCAAATATTCTTTCATCAGTTTCCTCTCCAAGTTATCTTCCAAGGGGGTAAATGTGCTGCAGAGGAGGAGAAGATGTAGGTCATTGGTACCTGCCATGGGCAGGGAGTGTTGCTGGAAAGAGCCCAGAGTGGGGTAGGAGACAGAAAGACGGCTAATTCTCAAAATTTGCCTTAGGAGCTGTTGTGAATTTAGGAACAGTATTCCCCAATTTAATGTTCCCGCTGAAACACTCCAAAACATGCACCACTTGCTCCCCTCCCTCCTCTATGGGGCATCTCCTCTCTATGGGGAGGAGAGCTGGAGGCACAAAAGACAAAGATCAAGGATTGAGATAACAACAATTTACTGGAAACAGTAAATTAAACAAGAAGATGAAGGGTAACAGCAACAATATTAATAACAGAGTGTACAAGAGAGCTGAATGATTCACATGCAGGCCCCCACCATGTGGAAACCAGCAATACCCTGACTGCTCCAACCCCTTACCTGACCAGAAGGGACGCCTCACCACTACAACCTGTACCTGAGGTTGTACAGAAAAACATCAGGCTCCTAGGCATGCTCCTTCTGGCTACTGCAAAAATTGACTGTCCTGGCCAGAATCAGTATGTTTTCCATCCCTTATGCTATACCATCTATATCATGTCCAGGTCCTACACCTCCCAGCTACGCGTGTGTGTGTATGTGTGTGTGTGTAAATGCAAGCGTGAGTATCATTTCCATAGTCAGTGGCTGTCCTTTCAAGATGTCTTTTGAGTTCATTTAGTCCACGACTGTGAGTTCTGTCTGTTCTAGATGTCTTCCAAGGCAGAAGGGCTGCCTGCTTTCACCTGGTTGCAGTCTGCATCAGGAGCTCATGACTGGTATATCTGGAACAGCCCATATTCATTCTCCACAGTAGTTACAGCATACAGAGGCAGTGCCATTCAGCAAACAATATTGTACAGTGGAACATTACAGACCGTTCTCACTCCAAAAGTGAATCCCCTTGGGGTACACTTCATGCTTCCCTGTCCGTCTACATTACCCATCAAGTGCCATCAGGTGCTTGAGCAAAACCAATCCCATGCATGGATTTGCTTTTGCAGAAGGGTGGGACCAATCCCGACCATGTTCCCTAACGCATTTCTCCTTCATACCGCAGGGTCTTTATCCCCTGCTACAGTGCATAGTAGTTTTGATTGGGCAGGACCAGCTTGATTGGTAGAGCCTCTTGTATTGACTAACAAGGTGGCCTTTGCTAAATGCAGATCCCCATGTTAGAAGGTGCCACCCATTGCTTTCAATGTAATTTTTAACAGTCCATTGTGGTGTTCAGTTTTCTCAGAGGTTGGTGCATAATGGGCAATATATTATACCCACTCAATCCTGTGCTCTCTGGCCCTTGTGTCTGTGGGGCTCCTTTTGCAATGAGTCTGATTAGTTCAACTCAGCTCTTTCTGGCGTGCCATGTTGCTGCAGAAGTTGCATCTCAAGGCCCAGGATGGTGTTTTGGGCCTTGGTGTGAGGCACACGGTTCATTTCCAGACACCCAGTGGTTGTTTCCACCACTGTAAGCACTTGTGTCACTTGCCTTAGTGGGTTTGCAGCAGTGTGATGGAACCAGTCTGCCAGGCTGCCCCATATCTGTGTTTCAGCCACCTGTACCCACCGTACCAGAGAGGCCTTACCCGCCCGGCCTGCTCCGTCACAGCGCATGTTTCACAGTTATGGTAACTGAGAGGCATGGTCCATGGCCAGGGCTGCCCCTTGGTCACAAGCCCACTTGGATGTTGTGTTTCTTCTCTGATAACCTGAGGCATCTTGAGCCCACTGAGCCAGAAGAATTGGCTCTTACATTGCCAGTGCAGATTAACCCAAGCCGCTTTAATCTTGGTGGCCTGATCCATCTCTGCATTGCTGCGATGCTCTTCAGCAGCCTGACTCCTGGGCACATGTGCATCTCATGGTGTTCTTCTACAGCCAGCTTCTCTAACAGGGCAGCGATTTCTTGCCAGGATTCATCAGCCCAGGTGGGTTTCCCTCTGCACTGCCAATTGGCCTTTTTCTGTCAGTCCTGCCACTCCAGCACAGCATTTGCCACCATCCACGAGTCAGTGTAGAGGTAGATTGCTGGCTCTTTCTCTCTTCAGTGGTACCTAAAGCCAATTTGATGGCTTTCAGCTCTGCAACCTGATTTGATCCACCTTATCCTTCAGTAGTTTCTGTGACTCGTCATATAGGGCTGTCTACGGCTGCTTTCTGTTTTTGATTTGTCCCTGTGATACAAAAAGAACTGTCAATAAAGAGATCATATTCCTTTTCATTTGTAGGTGGCTGATTGTATGGTGGGGCCTCCACAGCATGTATCATCTTCTCCTCTGATGATGATGATGGTAGTCTGAAATTTTCAGCTTCAGGCCAATTACTGATGACTTCCAAGATCCCTGGGTGATTGGAATTTCCTGTTCAAGCTTGCTGTGTGGTCAGAGTAATCCAGTTACTCCACAGTGGCATGATGTGTTGCAGGGACTTTCTCTTTGAATATCTAGCCCAGCGCTGGCAGCTGGGGCACCAGGAGGGGCTGTGCTTTGGTGTCAGTCACTTCTGAGGCAGCTCTGACCCCTTCATAAGTCACCAGTGTCTCTGCTTCAGTGGGGCTGTAGCTGGTCTCAGATCCTTTGTATGTTGGAATGTTTGAATTCCTAACTCCAGAACACCAGGGGTCGTTGTCGAATCTCCACATGTACCCTTTTGCCAGCGATTCCCGGAAGGACCACTCTTCCCAGCTGTACTGTGGAGCATATTTTTTACATCTTGTAGTGTCCTGACTGGCTACTGCATGAGCAATCTCCTGTTTAATTTGTTCAAAATCTTATTATTGTTCAGGACCCTGCTTGAAATCATTCTTCTTTGGTATCACTTGACAAAGAGGTTTTAAAATCTGTCTGTAATCTGAAATATGCATCCTTCAAAAACCCACAGTGCCTGACAGGAAACACAGAAACCTGTGTTTCATTCTTGATGGTTGTGGGGACATAGCTGCTGTTCCAATGACCATGTCCATTGGAATCTGATGGCGTCCATATTGCCATTTTACTCCTAAAAACTGAGTTTTCTGGGCAGGTCCCTTGATCTTACTTTGCTGTGTGGCAAAACCAGCCTTCAGGAGAATTTGCGTTGTCTTCTCCCTTTTCTCGAAAATTCTTGCTGTGTTGCCCTGCATGATCATGTTGTCAGTATATTTTTTTTGCTGTCAGTATATTTTTTCCTCACATCCTTTTCCAGTGCAGTCTGGATTAGTCCAGGATAATTAATGGGGTTCTGTTTCCACCCTTGGGGAAGTCAGTTTCGGGTGTATGGCACACCCCTCCAGGTAAAAAACTGAGCTGCTAAAAATTCCTGCTGCTAAAGGAATGGAGAAGAGCATGATAGCAGTGTTGTTGGTGGCACCACCTCACTGCTTTGGACTCCAGCTCATACTGAAGTCCCAGCATGTTGGGCACAGTGGCACTCAGTGCTGGTGTGACTTCATTCAGGCCATGATAATCTATTGGTCCCTGGGCTTACACACTGACCATATAGGACTGTTAAAGGGTTAAGAAGGCTTGCTGACCACTCCCTGGCTGGCTCTCCAGTTCACAGATCATCTCATGGATGGGGGTCACAGAGTCCCAGGTGGTGCCATAGCCATCAATTGTATCTGCTGTTCTTCAGCCCTCAGCAGTCCCTAAACAGAGAGGTCCTCTGAGAGACCAGGCAAGGTATTCAGCTGTCTCATTTCCTCTGTCTCCAGAGCAGCTATCCATCCCATAGATCCTAACAATGCCTTTTTGGGTCCTTGAAATACCCTCTTTTAGGGTAACCTATGCTAAAGATGCACTGGGCCTCTGGGCCAGTCCCAGTGGGATGTTTTTGCCATTCATTTCCAGTCATGCTCTCTCCACCTTCCAGTGCAGGCAGCTGTTGGGATCCCCTTGGCACCCCAGAGAGAGATGGATTCTGTCCCCACATATCTTGGTGGCATCCGAGAACATCATGTGCTGATGTGAGCTAAAGCCTTACACTCTTGGGTGTCTGATGTGCCAGAGCACTGGATCCACACAGTCCAGTACATCTGATTGGCCCTTTCTTCTGCCTGGCTGGGGCCTCTGTAGTTCTAGTAATAGTACATGTTGTTCACTTCTTGTAAATATGAGCGATCAGAAGTAACATCAGCCCTTATATTAAAAATTAACTCTGTCCTGGCCAGAACCAGGACAGGAGGACAAAGTAGGAAGGACAGAGAAACCCTGTCAAGATTCACTTATATCTACTTGTGAACTGGATTATTGGCAATATATTACATGTTAAATTAAGTTATTACCATGCAGATCACACTCTGTGTGGGTGTGAGATTGTTGCAAGTACAGCTTGTCTCTGACCTTACATCACAGAGAAAAAAATTAAAGTTTGTGCATCCAGACTAGATAATGTGAATGTCCCAGCAATATATTCCATTCCTCTCAGATCTGGTGTTAGTTTCCGTCTAATGGGATGTTTAAAAATTGTCTGTAAGACCGTCATTCTGTTTGTCTTCTTACTTCAGATACAAAAGTTTTGTGTTTTCAGTATTTTCTAGAAGCATCTTGATAAATGAATGTAGAAGGTCATCTTTGGCTGTGAGATACATTTTTCTATGCAGGAAGAACAGCAATGTGGTTAAGAGGAGGTGTGGTCAAGCAGGAGAATAGAAGTGAAAGATGTGTGTCGTCCCCACCTCTCTCTGCACAGGCTTGCTGGCTGTATCCAGTGAGTGCCCAGATGTGCACCAGCTCTGTGCCCTGGGCTCTCATAAGCAAGAACCTCAGGAGGGCCAAGTTACTCCTCCTGTTGTTGAAGCTCAGTGGAAGATGTTGCAAGTCTTCTGCCCTTTTGCTCAGATATTTTCTGCAGGTCCAAGTAGTCACACTCCTCTCCATCTGTTATGGTCCTGGCCATTCTGATAAGTGACCAAACATTCGGTGTTAGCTGTGAGTGCTGTGCACTACTTCACCACCTGGAGTAGCTTTTCTGATTTGGAAAGCAGTACTAATGAAGTAAAGTTAAAAGGTGCAGGGATTTAAAAGGTGGGCAATTAGAAGAGAATAGGGAACATCCTGGATATCTTATCATCCATAAAGAATACATGTTTCAATTCCTTGCCCATAGGAAAAAAATTAAAAGTAAGAACAGCTATTTCAAATAGTGGAATTACTTATTATTTTGCATATTCAGTGGCTGAGACCGATAGTAATTTAAATCTTCTTTCATTTACTAAAATATTGGAGTTAATTGCATGCAGAATGATAGCCCAATTTCCTAGAAAGGCTTCTTGGAACTGAATGTGTACTTATGTACTTCTTACTGTGATGTGTGCTTTGCTCTGTGCACTGTGTGAAGCAAAAAGAGATTTATTACCTTAATTTTACTTTTTTTCCTTCTGCTCTTTTAGGAGTTTCTTTAAAGCCTTTTCACTTATTGGAGAAACTCAGGAACGAGAGAGAGTTTTAATCCACTTCTCCAGCAGATACTACCAGTGCAACCCAAATGCCATTTCTTCTCAAGGTAACTTTGTTCCTGATATTGAGGTCTTTCCACACATATGGTGTATGCCTGGAAAATGAAGCTGTGTGGTCACTGTGCCACACTTTAGAGACTGTCTCTGAAACCCTCAGCATGAAAGGTATTCAATATAAATAGGTCCTCAATACAAATCCTCAGTTGTGGCACCTCCAGATTTGTCCTCACTTGTGGTTTCTTTTCTTGCTGGCTTTGGTGTGTGGGTGCTTGTACTCCAGCTACACTCATGTGGACAAGAATAGGTCCTCTGACACGTGAAAGAGAGGTTGTTCACTTTCCGTGCTCCATTCAGCACTTGTATCTGCATGCACTGGCATCAGGCATGCCAGTTCTTGCCAGTTGTGGTGATGAATATTGAGTGCTGTATCCAGACCCTGGCATGGTTTCATCTCGACTAGCTAACATCAGTCAGAGTGCTTCTCCTTGCCAATGTTTTCAGTCAGTTTGGAAATAAATGATGGAAACAAACAAGCACATAGATCAATCCTGAGAAAACTGGGATTGCAGAAGAGGACAAACTGTCTGTTGGCGTAACTGCTATGTTCAGCCAGACATGCTGGCAGAGCCTTGTGGCCCTGTGATTGCAGCACATGCTGATCACACACTGAAAAAGAAGGCAATCATCGGTTTAACTGTACTTTAAGTTTAATGTGTGAGAAAGAGCTGCTACAGTTGGAGGTACCACTGTGCCTCCTTACCCCTTGCTTTGTGACCTACCCCTGTTTCAGTGAGATAATGTTTGGGCGCATCGCACCTCTTCAGCTTTACTGGCTGTCATGCAGGGGAGGGAGAAAGTTGGGAGTAAGACAGGATCTGCTCCTGTGCTATCTCTGTAATGTGCCTATTGCCTTTCTTATTTCAAGACACTGTAGGCAGTCAGAACAAGTGCGTCATGTCCAGAGTGAAACAATGACTTGCCTGATGATATGGCTGCCTTACTCTAGTCAAGACTGCAAGAGGGGTATTGTGACTTTGGACCCCGAGTAAGCATTTAAATCCTGCACACTTAACCCAGGATCTTAGTACTGTGCGCTGTTTGGGCACCACAATATAAGAAAGATACAAACCTATCAGAGAGTATTCTGAAAAAGGATATGAAGATGGAGAAAGGTCTAGAGGGGAAGCCAAATGAGGAGCAGTGAGATCACAGAATTTGCAGAGTCTGGAAAAGAGGAGACTGAGGGGAGACCTCCTTGCAGTCTACAGCTCCTTCATGAGGGGAGGGTGAGGGGCAGGCACTGATCTTTTCTCTGTGGTGACAGTGACAGGAGCTGAGGGAATTAGGAGCTGAGGCTCTGAGCAGAGCCTTAAGAGTTGTGTCCGCAGAGGTTTAGGTAGACATCAGAAAGAGGTTCTTCTCCCAATGGGTAGTTGGGCGCTGTAACAGGCTCTCCAGGGAAGTGATCACAGCGCCAGCCTGGCAAAGCTCAAGAAGTGTTTGGACAATTCTCTCAAGCACATGGTGTGATTCATAGGGATGTCCTGTGCAGAGCCAGGAGTTGAACTCCATGATCCTTATAGGATGCCTTCTAAACTTGCTTGGAAAGGTTATTCAAAAAGGGTCTAAGGTATTACTACTTTTTCCTGAGTTGGGCACAAAGAAGAACTTGACAAAAGTTCCCAGAATGTTCACGACCAAACTTTCCTAGCAAACCTTAGAAAATCAGGAATTTAAAACAAACATTCAATCAAAATAAAGCATTTCACAGACCACTGACTTAGTAAACTTTACTCATCCAATCTTAATTACCCATGTGTCAGAAAATGGAAATTAGGAGTAGAGAAGAGGAAAAATATACAAAAATAAAGAGCAAAAAACCAAGATACAGCTACTGCCCTGGATCCTAGTGTGGTTTCAGCTATCCAAAGACAATAGGAACACAACCACATGTCCTGGGGTCTGCTCTGGCTTCCTGTGGCAAGCAACCCCTGGGGCTACTTCCAGTCATCTGGCCACCCTGGGGCTCCAGGGCAGAGTGTGAGGCATTGCTTTCAGTGTGCCAGTGATTAGTGGCAGTTCTGAACTAGAGGCTCCAGAGAGTGGGGTGTGGAGCAGTGCACCATCCTATTTTCTGCAGAGCTGCTCTCCCTACACAGACATTTCTGTTATTTTGAGCCAGTAATCATTTTCTTCAGTCTCTCAGTTCTCCGACTCTATTCTGTGGTTCTGTGAATCTGACTTATTGCTGAGGGCCTTGGCCACAGGACCAGCTTAGAAGCCCCTGGAGTGCTCTCTACCCAACATGCAGCCAAGGCAGCACAAGTAACTGACTGTACTTCTCCAAAATTAGGTCTAATTGAGCTGTGAATGAGGACTAAGCCAGAGGGGAAGAAAACCAGGATACCCTGCTGCACCCACTCCTTACACAAGAAAGAATGTATTTTACTTTTCCCTTTCTGCACTGAAGTAAATGAAGAAGGAGGTGTTGATTCAGACTGTAGTGTTGGTATTAGCAAGCTAAGAGTGATAGCATGATTTCCTGTCTTGCTTGCCTCATCCATGGGTGCTGCAAGACAGTTTTGAGAGTTACTAAAAGATGAAAGAAAGACTGTTCTGGTTTGCCAGCTGTATGATGACCTCATTGTTCATTTATTTAATTATGTGTATTTCTTGATAAAACAGATTCTTATGAAGGGAACAGACTTAGTTAATCTATGAGTCTCAGTTTCAGATTCTTGAAGGTCCAGATGTGGTTTTGCATGTGACTCTGGTTATTTCTCTTTCTGCAGATGGAGTTCACTGTCTCACGTGTGCCATGATGCTGCTGAACACAGACCTCCATGGCCATGTGAGTATGCACAGCTTTGTGTAGACTGCTCCTATCCACACCATGCTGGGACTAGGTAGCTGGTGATGGTCCCGGTGCTGGTGGCCTTCTTCTGAAGCCCTTGCAGACAGCAAACAGTGAGAAGGCTGCACTCCCAGGCTGTTGTCCTGGGCAGGCCTTTCCAGCATGCCTTGATCAATCATGTGTAAGCTGGCATTGTGCCTGGTGTTGTGATAATGTCTGAGCATACTCCCTGACCTTAGGGCCATCTTTCCGATGTGTTTACCATCCTTCCTGCAGCAGGTTCTGACCAGGAAGCTGTGCTTGGGATTGGCTTCCCCTTTGCAGTATGTAAAAACATGTGGGAAGGCAGAATAGAGATGGGAGTGAAGAAGACCTTTTGGGAAAGTCTCAAAGGGAGGGTGATGTTTGCAGGCATTCAGTTGCAGGGGGCAGATCTGGTGGAAGCAGAGTTTTGCACAGACAAAGGATGGGTATACTCGAAACCAAGAGAATGGAGGGGGGATGTGAGCATGCTGAGTGGGAGCCCTGTGTTCCTGTACTGCACACCTCACCCCATTGCCTGCCTGGGTGAAATAGTATTCTGGTTTGAGTTCTCTTAGTCACACTGCTACAGGGTGCCAGCAGCCTTAGGATGGGTATTTCAGCACCCATGGTGCAATACACCATGCAAGGTATTCCCATGCTGATGAGAGGCCTCCTCTGCCCTGGAGTTAGGATGGAGTGTGTAAAAACACAGGGAGCATGGCACTGTAGTATACAAAAGCAGTGGCTTTAGCCGGGTAGCTCTGGGGCTTCTCTCTGTCCCTCCACTGCACTTGCAAGGGCTCTCCCAGGAGGGTTTCTGTTGGGAACTCTTACACACCAAGAGTGTTGGATTGGGCAGCAGGACATAGAGGGATCCTGGGTCTGTCTAAACGGGCTACTGGGCCCCTGTGGTGGTGCAGGTAGTAAAACCAAGACTTGAGTATTCACAAGGAGTTCTGAGACCCACCTCCTATTAATGGAATGCCTTTGTCTGCAGGTTGTGGAAGCAGGAGGGGGTAGGGAGTTGTGAAGAATTTTTTTCTCAGATGGCTTAGCCTTCCCTACTGAATGACTGGATGCGAGGCGTACAGAAATGTGCTGCAGTTTGTCTCTTAGCACACATAGCTTCTCTTGAGGACACCTGAGTCTTTCTGCAGAGGTATCCCACTCCCCAGAGTGGTGAGCAGCCTGGAGCTCCTGCTTTACAGACTGCCTGGCCTCACAGTCCAGGGAGGGAGACCAAATAATGGTCATGCATTAGCCTGACAGCAATTCCCATTGCTCCCTGTGATGCTTTAGTGCTCCCTGCGATGCTTTAGTGCTTTAGTACTGTCTTCAGTAGGTACTGGAAAAAACAATTTAGCTCTGACCCATCATTGCTGCTGCTGACTCTGGTTGTTGCAGTGTGTGACTTTGGAGACTTACCCCACTGGCAGTTGACACTGTGTTGTTATGTACATGCAGCTGTAGTATTTCCCAGACTCCTACTTGTATTATGTCCATGGGTGTGCCATCGTGTTCCCTCAAATCCCTCTGATTTCCTCTGATTTGGACTTCCTCTTACTGCTTTGCATTTTTCCACATAGGTGGTAAGTTTGGTGTTTTTGATTTGGAATGCAGCCCTTGCAGATATGCCTAATTGCCTGTTTCCTAACAAAGATAACGCTTTGCCCCATCCTTACCAGGATTCTGCTGGAGCAGGAAGCAAATGAGTCACAGGGCTTGTCTATACACTGTGCTCTATTTGTTACTGACATACTGATCATAAGCACAGACATTTCTATTTCACAATCAGCTCCACTGCTTGTAGGGCTGTAATGCAGCTGCTCTGCCTTCAGTTCACACTTGCCTTTAACTCTTGTAGACAAACTTTTACTTAATCCCCTTTATGTTCCCTGTCTTGCCACACTTCTATTTGTAACTAAACATTTTTGCTAGATGTGTTTTGGAAATGCATGCTTGGCTTCTCTGCACAAAGATCATCACCCACATTAGTACTAGAGAGTTTTGAGGTATCTCTAGACCACTAGGCACATCCTCTGGAACCTCTGTGGCACTGTATGAAGATGTCAGCTTTGATCCTGCAGCAAAACAGCAAATTGTCTGCATTGTTGGCTTTGGTCAGCATGGGGAAGCTGCCAGCTGCTGCTTGGAGGAAACAAATAGAAGTAGGCTGAAGTTGCAGGGAGAAACAAAAGCACTAGACCAGCTCCAGCCTGCACCTGAAGACTGAAGTTATAAAGATGTGTTCTATAAGCTTTGCTACCATAGAGCCAGGGTTACAGCCCATCTGTGTTGTCAGGAGCCATCCTTTTGTGGGAAGCCATGAATTGTTCCAGGGTTACTGCTTGCCTTCTTTCTGTAGGTTTGTGCTGGCTGCAGGCTATGGGATGTTCCTTATTGGCAAGGTGAGGCTGATGGCCAAGATTTGGTGGTTTTCCTGATCAAACATTATGGAAGGGAAATAGAGGATATGCACTTTAAGCTGTCGTGTAATTCATAACATCGAATGGCCTGTATTACCAACTAAGGGCACCAGTCCTGTGTTAATTTGGCCTCCTGGTCCTAGCCGAAGACAGAGTTCACACAGAACTCTTCTGCTGTATTTCTACAGACAAAACATGCCCTGACAGTGGAAAAGTCTTCACTTCCATCTCTTGACTGACAGTGGTGCTATCATCAAAGATACCTGTCACAGAGCTCTATTTTCCCCTCTGTCTATACCGTGTTTCACAGCTCATCTCAGGCTCCTTTCCTTTTCTCAGATATCTTTGGTGTCCTTTTTCATCAATGCGGTGTTGTAATTGTTGCCTGCTCACCAGGCTCCCCGCATACTAAGCAGGACCCTTCTAACACCTAGGGGACTGTGTACAGACACTTTCTCTGAGGGGTGATGAAGGCAGGGATTCAATAAGCCTCAAACTTCTGGATGTAGTTTGGCTCCTACACAGACATGTAGGGACAGCCAAACTGTTCCTTTCTGTTTGTGGCTTATTTGGTCAACTTTCAGTCAGAGACTTGGACAGGAGGAGAGAAAAGAGAGCGAGCCTATGGAAATGTCAAAGCAGCTTCAGCCTGTCAATCAGAAAAGGTAGTGGCCATGCCTGGGCATCACACTCCAACTCACAGCAGTTGCCACTGGAAGGGGGCATTTGAAATTGTAAGGGAAGGATCTCAAAAGGGCCTCAGTCACCTGTTTCCTGGTGCCCCACAGCAGATTTAAGTAGAGCTTTTCCATCAGAGACTGGTAGAGCTTCTGGAGACATGGGGATATAAGGCACCATGCAAATATGAAAGATATTCATCATTGTCCTCTTCATTACCCCCAGTATTAAGCTGGGGTTTTTTTTGGGGGTGTATGTAGGCCTTTGGGTGCAAAAGGGTTCCTTTTTCTAGCTATATGCATACAAGGATGCTCATCTAGGAGTAATCTCCTGAATGTGTTCTTAGTGCTGCCTGGCTTGGGCTTAAAGGAAAGCAGGAAGATGAATTTAATCGGATGTTGCTTGTTCCTGTTGTTACGGAAAGCAACAGGAATATGATGTTGTGTTTCTCTGACACTCCTTTCAGAACATTGGGAAAAAGATGACCTGCCAAGAGTTTGTTGCTAACCTCCAGGGGATGAATGATGGCAAAGACTTTCCGAGAGGGCTCTTGAAGGTAAGGAATTAACTGCAGAACGTCGGTTTCATTTCTGTTGAAAGATGGTTCAAAACAAAACACCCATCTTGCATTTTCTGAATCTTAATTGTCAAACATGACAAGTGATGGGGCCATTTCTCCTCCCAGAACATATATAATATATAAAATGTTTATTCTCTTGTTTTCCCTCTTGCCTTTACTTGATAGCGAAGGTGACTCTCTGCAGCACAGAGGTGAAACTGAGCTGCAGCAGGTCTTGCCCCAGAGCTGTGTGCTTTGTAAACTCCTGTGGTCATGCCAACCCAGAGTGCTTTCTCCTCATTGCAGCGGACAGAAGCAGCCAGTTGGCTCTGAATGTGAATACATTAAAGGCTAAGCCTGATCTCTGTGTACAATCTGGAAGGCATGTGGTTTTTTTCATCAAAGGTGCTTTGGGATATTCATATTAGAGCTGGAGATGTAATTTCAGATTATAATGTGCTGTCTGGCACAGGCTGTGTTGCTTCAGCTTTTGTTCATTAGGTTTGTGCTAGGAGTTAAATCTGAAGAATGAGGGAAGAGGCTGAGCAGGACAAACCTTGTTTTATTGTCAGTAATAATGAGAATGTTTTGCTTCTTTTTTGTTTTGCTAGCACGAAACAGCACTTTGTTTAAATGAAGACAGGTGTGCATACACTGGAGTTCATGATTTATTTATTTTTTTGTAATGGAAATAAAAATAAGAGGCTGTCACATCTGAGAGCTGATCCAGTGCCTATTGAAACCAACCAAATGAGTTGCCATCTCTTGTGTGAGTTTTGTGTCAGAATCATTGTGAAATACAGATTTACCTGCATAGTTGAAAGCAGCAGAGTTTGTCTTCTAGTATTGGTAATTTCTTCATTTTCTTAATTTTCTTCAGGGAGATTTTTGTTGGACCCTCCTGCTTCAGTTCTTACTAAGCAACGGGGAATATTAAATTTTAGATTTAATGTCTTTAATTTTTGAGTCTGTATATCTGTCAGCAGCCACAAGTAAATTACTTTTTCCCCCAAAGGAATCTAATTTCTCCATTTGCCATAGAGGGATGTGTTGAGATTAATTTGCAGGCTAATTACAGCCCTTACTGAATAAATAAATTTCCAGATTGTGTGTAAATAACCTGAGTGTACTGACAAGAGACTTCCAATGGTTCTCACCTGCTGTTTGTTTTCCTCCTGACAGAATTATGCAGTTGGGGCTGTACCTTCATGTTTAGCTCACCTGCTAGTGCTGGGGATGTCTGACTCTTCACCCAAAGCAAATACCAGGGCTCAGGATTTTTTGGATGTAGACAAATGGAAGAAGTTTGGTGTTGGTGTCTCATGTTGCTTTAAGGCTTTCTGCCCTTTTCTGTGTGCTGTCTTGGGGACAGAGGTGGCACCCAGCTTTCTTTTTTCATCTGGCTTGTCTGAAGATTTGATAAACTGACCCTTGTTTTTTAATATATTAGTGGAAGGGAGTGGAGTGAGTATGAGTAATTGTGCTACTGTGTTCACAGCAGCCATGCTGCCACTAAAATTGCGATTACTAAGAATTAGTGGAAATTAATTTTTGCATTGGTCTCAATAAATTAAATTCACAGCACCCTTCTTCAGCACAGCACCAAAGTGTGTGTGGTTTGCTGCTGCATTAGCTGTGTAGCCGCTGAGCATGGGTGAGGCTGCAAGCATTCTCCCTGCATCCTTGCCCAGCTGCCTGGGAGAGGAAGAGTGGTTTCCACAGGGTGGCAGTGTGTCCCCGTGGGAGCGAGGTCCTGGGCACCCACTGGTGACTAATGCAGGCCTGTGGTGAAGCAAGTGGGATCTTCTGCCTCTGCAGTCTCTCTGTGTTCTCCTTGTGGCCCTGTTGCACCCTTGTATGAAGCTCTGCTGAGCCCCAGAGCAAAGCTGAGCAGTAGTGGAGGGGAAGGAAGGCTGTTCATCCAGGGCTTGTGAAGCTCTGTGCAGCATTTATTGTGGATCCACTTCTCAGAGTCAGGGGTGCAAATGCAAATGCTTGTGCTATCCAGGACAGCTGGTTGACAGGCATCAGTCAGATGTTGCCTTCAGTCAATCACTTCACTCTTTGGAGTGCGTCCCTGAATGTTTCGTCAGGATAGGAAAATAGCACAACAAGGGACGGACATCAGCATGTGAGGAGGGATACCCTTTTGTGTGATCAGCCTCAGAAAACTTGGGATGTTGGATCAAGTTACTCTTTTCTTTCACCTTCCTGGGGGAGCTATCTGTATGTTTTATTACAGTTTTTTTCCAATAATAAGAACACTTTTGGTACAAACCACAAGGCCTTCATGACCTGATTCTCTGTATGTCACTAGTTGTGCTTTAAGAACAGATTATTTCACTCTGGTTTGAAAGCAGAAATGAGAAATGCTAACGTGATCTTGCTCACCTTGTGTCTTGCTGTCCATTTAACATTGAAAAAGGTTTTGCTTTTGTACACCTGTATGCACAAAGATTCATTGCCTTTTTCCTCACTCGTTTAGTCACATCCAAGGTTGCTTTTGCAGGTGGGACTCATAAAGACAAATACGCCAAACTGTGATTAAAAGTGCACTTGTCCTCATGGGGTCTGCTTGTAGTATTCATGTATTCATCACACACACATATATATATAGAAAGAGAAGCCATAGCTAGGATCACCCTCTTTGTAAAGAAAACAAAATCAGTCTGACATTTTGGCAGTGTTAAGAACCTCATGATTACAATGTAGGAGTGGTTTCTTTCTCACATGCTCACACCAGCTTTAATCTTCTGTAATGATATCATCTTCACAATTATATGCTAGGGAATTGTACTGTGTGATCGAAGCCTTCTTCAGAGCTGGGCTTCACAAGATTTTCTGGAATGAAGAGGAGATTCGCTTGGAAAGAGCCTAATTTTGGCCTTACATTCTTGCTTCAATTCCTAAGGGCAGTGTGGTCCCCACAAATAAAGTGCTGGTATGGTGCTGGCCACAATGTTTTCCTCTTGGCATTTTTGTTGAGGATGATGAAACAGGAAAGCCTTATAAATATGATTGTTTGGCAAAAGATTTTGAGAATATAGAAACTATAAGTGAGATTGAAATGAAAGAAAGCTTTACGATACCTTAGTTACTGAACAATGGGAAAACAATGGTGTGGCTGATTGAAGGTAATCTCTTTTTGATGAAGCAAAACCTTCTGCTTGCACACAAGTCCAAAAGTCAGAGCAGACCCTACTAGCTTGGCAGAAGGGGTCTAAAGAGTAGTTTTTAAGGTTTAAAATGTAACCCAATATGGTAATATAGTGATTCTATTCAACACAAAAGAGGATTTATTGTATTGTAACGAGAACTTAGCTCTCTTACCCCTTTTACTCTCTTATACTTTTGCTCTCTTACCCTTTTACGCTCTTACCCTCTCATCCTCTCTGCCCCTCTCTTTTCTCCGGCCTGCTCTGGACTGCGTCTGGCAGCTCCAAGCAGGGCCGCAGCATGCAGGCCCTTGGCGATAAACCACAAGTTCCACGACCTGGCGTCGGAGATCTCTTGTCTCCATCCATCCCGACTGTCCTACCCCCTGTTGCTCCTACAATTTTGAGACAAGGTGTGTGAAGGTCCACTCCAGGAAGGTGGCATTAACAAGGCCTTTCATATGTAAGGAGAGAATGTGTCTTGTGTGGTCCACAGAGAGCCTGCAAGAAGGCATGAGGACATGGATCCCTGCTTTTGTTAGGCAGTGTTCTGGTAGGGGTACTCTGTTGTTAGGCTGCATGCAAAGTACCACCTGTCCTGTGTAAGTAAATGTCCTCTGCATTTACAGCACACCTCATTCATGAAATCACAGGCGTCGCCCAACCTCTGACATGGGCTGACCCATGGTAGTGGGGCTGCCCCATGACATGAAGTGGGGAAGTCATACCTGGCTGTGTGTCTTTTGGTAGGAGGTGGTAGCTCTTCTCTGACCTGTTATCCTGTCTGGGAATGTCTATCATGCTGAAGTACCTGGGATGCACTTGGCTAGACTCATCCTTTCAGGGACTGCTGATGGAGATTAGATGCCAATCCTGCATAAAAAGTCTGCTTTTTCTCAAAGGTTTTTTTTGGGTAGGCCTTATCTCCTGCAGAAGCACTGTAATGAAGTGACCAAATTAACTTGGAGTTGCTGGTGCTGAACTCTTCTGAAGAACCCATCCTTAATTTCCTAAATGATCTGAATTCTTGATTAGGATTTCTGGGATATGCAATTTCCTATAGAAGCTGCAAAGTAGGGTTTATCTCATGTTGCTGTCAGTTCCCTCCACTTCAATTACAGGGTGTTTTTACCACTGTCTTTCTGCTTTCTCTGGCTCTCCCTCTATTTTTTTTTTTTTTAATTCCCTTTGAAAGCCCTCCAAAGCAAATATTCAATTCAAAGAGAATTAAATTTGTCTTACTTCATGGCATCTTACCTCATCCATTCCAATAATTTCAGGTATTTAGCAGAGAGAATGAACATCAGGTGGCTAACATCTCCCTGCACAGCCTCAGCCCCCCTTTATGGAGAGGAACTCACACTAATTGGACTGCTGTGTGCCCCCTAATTGCTCTCATCAGCAGTCCTTGTACTTCATCCATTTCATGGCTTTTTGGCAAGAAATTCCCACCTTCCAGGGAAACCTGATGAAGGTGGGGAGATGAGAGTGTGTGACAGCAAGCCAGGATGGCCCCAGGAGGTCCGCATTGACTGCTGTAACACCCTGCAGCAGTGGGCAGAGGAGAGAGAGGACCAGATGCCTTTGCTTCATGGAATAAGACTAGAAGATAAGGAGATAAAGAGATAAGGACCAGATGCCTTTGCTTCACGGAATAAGAAACAAGATGTAGCTCCTGATGTCTTCCCCAAAATAAAGTTTTTTCTCTTCAAAATACTTCTGATGGAAATAGTATTTTTGGGCCATTTCTTATCTGTATGAATTAGAAGGTCCTGTTACAGAGGGCCCCTTTCAGCTGCTAGGAGACAACAGAGTCTAATCTGGCAGTATAAAAGTCAGGTA